AGATCGGCCTCTACTAATCATAATGTGATTTTTATGGACAGTATATGCTCATATTTTAATTATTATGCTAACTTACTATGTGAGGCACACAAGTATAGATTACGTCACCCACTTTGAAATGCCTTGATTTCATGTTTGTTTGAAAAAAGTTTTGAATATGTGCTACTTGAAAAAGTAAGCTCATATATACATTAGTCATAATCATTCCAACTTAAAGCGAAATAGCCTTCATCTACTGACATTCAAAAGATATTTCAAATAAGCAGTTAGCTTCATGGTAATATGCTTAATATGGCAACACAAACAAACACACATGCAATATGCCAAAGCAAAAAATGCTCACCTAGTACTCAATCGAGGCAACCCAAAGAGAAAGAAATAACGAGAAAAATGCATGCTCTAATATGCAAGTGACTAATGCAACATATACAAAATGCAACTACTAGGTCCGGTTTGTTTAACATGTCATATTACTCAACTCAAAGCATTCGGTAGCGCGCGTATTCAAGTAAGCAGGAAATGACAACGATGGGAATGATGAACATGACAAAAATGGATACGAAGTATGGCAATGATATGAAACGAAAAATATGATGCTACCATGATCTGCAGCATATAAATGAAAGTGAGAAAGAAATGGGGGTTAGAAGACATACACAATATTACAAGTGTTGCAAATTTTCCCTCGCACAAGAGGGTTCGAACGAATGTCCTAATTAAACTAATTATTATAATACCAAATGAATTAACTAAATTAATTAGCTATTACAAACTTGAATGAATCTATCTAATTAATTACACATACTAATATTAAAGTACTAAATTAATGGACTTGAATGGGAAATGAGGAGCCACACGCACATAACCAAGAACATCCTCCCAGAAATCTCTCTGTTTGCTACCAGAATCTGTTCTGTTTGTAGTCAGAAAATTATTTTGTTTTGGCCTCAGGCTCTAGTTTGTTCTATTGTGAAAAGGACACTGCTTGTACAAAATAAGGTGTCCGGCCAACCTTGAAAAGTGGTCGACTGTACAGAGTAATGGTCGGCCGACCATAGATTGAAATAGAGTAAAAACGTGTTTCCAAGAGATGTTTAAGGGAGAAGTAGATTCGATTCAAGGGAGAAGTAGATTCGATTCACAAATCATCAATTATCACAAAGTTGTTGCGTGATGATCTATAAATCGATAGGACAAAAACTCAATAAAATGAAACAAAAGATGAACAACACCTCCTCCTTATCATAGAGTTACCTTGATGAAAGGGGTGGACATTGCTTCATGAATCATTGAACATTACTAAAAGGTATGCAATGGTCCACGACGTAATGGGTTCAATATAACGTCTGATTGAACCCAACTCAATTTTATTACCTTTTTTAATCCAATTTTATTAGCCTATTTTACATTACTTTTTTATTTCTTATCTTTTCTTCCTTTTTTTGGCCAAAAGTGATGAATACGTCCACTAAATCTAAAAGCAATAAAGATAGCAAGCATTGACTTAACTCAAGAAATGAGCTTTTCGAGCCTTTTTTATGGGGGAAATTACAAAGTAAGTATCAAATTCATTTACAAGCGATAATGAATTCTAAGTCAAACCTAAAATGAGTGATAATGACTAGTCAAACTCAACGAGAGCGATAATGACTAATCAAACCCAAAATGACACTACAAGAATTCACACTTTTGGCGACCAATTTTAGCGACTAAAATTAATTTAGTCGCCAAAACTCATACCTTTGGCGACTAAAATTGGTATTGGTCGCCATTGGTTCAAAAATTAGCTACTAAATTTTTTTAGTCACTGTAAATTACTTATTGGCGACTAAAAAACAAATTAGTCGCTAAAAACTGCTGTAGTAGGTGACTAATGAACATTTTAGTCGGCGTTAGTTTTGTTTTTTGGCTACTAAATTTTTTTAGTCACTGTAAATTACTTATTGGCGACTAAAAAATAAATTAGTCGCTAAAAAATGCCGTAATAGGCGACGAATTAATATTTTAGTCGCCGTAAACTCATTTTTGCCTACTAAAAATTTGTAGTCGGTAAAAATCTTGCAAAATGTTCGGTATTTATGTTTGGCGACCAATCTTTTGTTGGTAAAAATTTATTTTGAACGACGAAAAAAATTTTTAGTCGTCGTATAAAAATATGTGGCTACTAAAATAGTTTAGTCGCCAAATAATTAAACATTATTTTACTTTTATCTTTGGCTACAAAAATTTTGGTAGGAAAAGGTTACTTTTAGTGACTAAATTGATTTTGTCGCCAATAAAACCAAAAAACTTTGGTGGGAAGATTAAATAGTATCGCGTATTTTCAAACTATGTTTCCTTTTGTTTATTTATTTTTTTATTTCTCTGTATGTGTTGAATACACCAAAGGAAACACCCCACTCTCTTGCTCTCACTCTCGTCGGCAGCCCATCGATCATCTCCTCTCATCGACTAACCATTGGTCACCGTTGCTCACAGCCCCCGAACCACCACAGGTACACCGTCTGACACCCATTGAATTTGATTCAGGTTTCTCTCTCTCTCTCTGTCTCTCTCTCTTCGTCTCTCTTCCTTCTTCTATTTCCCTGTTTGAGTTTGATTTATGAGTTTCATTTATGGGAAACAAGTAAATGGTTTATGATTTTTGTTCTACATTTAGGGTTTTTTTTTTTTTTTTATGCAGAGGCTTTCAATATATCTGAAACAATTTTTATTTTGTAAACGAATCAAACTGTTGGGTTGAATCAAACGAATTTGTCAAAGTTTAGGTTGTAAACAGGTTTGGCAACGGTTGTCTTCCCTATTCGACCCAATCCCATAGATCAGAAATACGTTAACATCAGTTGAGCCATCTTGTAACCATAAGTTAATGCACTTCACTTCATAATGTATACCAACTAGATAGGGACAACACTCTGTTTTTGTTTGATTCAATTTATTCCCAATGTTTTGAACTATTTTCTGGTTAAACTATGAGTCAAACCTATAGATTCAAAACATAATAGAAAACAAAGTACAATGAGCATGTGTTGAGTTGAAATATAGATGCTTTTTAGATTTCACATGAAAATGCATTACAGAATCATGGTCTTTAATTTTGCACCATCACGATTACAATTAAGTTCATGCCATCAATATCACATTGCCTCTAAAATTTAGAAAATTTATTGGGATGGGATATTGAGCTGTAGAAGAAGAAAATTTAATGAACCCAAGTGGATCCTTCCATAAAATAATCAAAAGCCTTGGTGCAATCCAATGATAGCTAGATGGAAATTGCGTCATGAGATAAATGAACATAGAAGTAAACTAAACAATGAACAAAACTTTAGATAAGTCTTGGTAACCAAACTAATCTGCATTATGTGCCCAAAAAGGATAATCAGCCTCTCCAAAAAACAATGGGAGCAAGGCAGCATACCTACTACCTCTCATGGATCCTGCTAGGCTGCTATAAGCTTGTGCACTTGGTACAAACTTTTTTATATCCCAAAAAACCATAGAAAGTATCATATGGGAATAGACAAATCTCAAAGGAAAGGTCGGATGAAAAGTTTCCACAGACAAATTTGCAATTTTTCCCTTATATCAACTCATCTTAGTCTATGAGACAAGTTAATACAAGGTATAGAAGTGATATAGAAAACATGGAATACCAATAGATAAATGTAGTTAAAACAGGGTGTGTATCACCAAAAATAGAATAACATTGTCATGAACAATATCCATAGCTCTACTCTCAAGAACTTATCCTTCAACAACAGATGAAAATCAAGGATAGAAACTCCACTATAACATAGTTAAGGCGACAAGAATTATTATGAATCAAAAACCAATAAAAATTTGAGTTAAAATGCAAAATTACCTCATCAAGGGGGTTCTCAAATTGGAGGTTCACACTCTCAGCATGTGCACGCATAACAGGAACTCTTATGCATGTGGCAGTTACTTTGACATTCATGTCATTCTACAATAGCAAATAAAATTATTATCAAAAGAAAAAGAAAAAATAAAAGTACATCATGCAGACTACGTAAATTGTCCAAGTCAATTAGAGACCTCAACACACATATATACATAAATCTAAAGAAATATTGAGAATTAAATATAAAAAACCAAGTCTATATACTTACCTAGATTTTCCTGGTCTCTTTTACTAGTTTCATTTCCTGTTCATTGTAGCCATTTGACAAGATAGGTGCATTGTGTGAGAAGAGATTAAAAGCATACTGCATGTAGTTGTATTAACAGGTAATTTGAACAATTAGATATAATAAATAATGATTAACCATTTATCTTAATTTTGAATTCAAGAAACATGAACATATAGACAAACCTGCTGATTGAAGATATTACAAGTTGGAGGCTTTCCTTCCAGGGCCTTACGATAAAAATAAGAGAAAAAAAAAATTCAAATTTGAAGGATTGTCAAAGCTACTTATAATATATCAGGAAGAAAAAAAATGAATAGTAGAGATGATATTAAGATGGGAGAAACAAAAAAATTAAAGAATTGTGCAAAAATTGTGCAAACAATGAATAGTAGAGATGATACGATAAAGTTCATTGTTTATTACATACCCTTAACGTATCAATTCAAAACTTATGCTCCCAAGTTGTGAAAGTAAGATTTTAATGGGGTAATTTTTTGTGTCCCCCTCATTTTTAGAGAGGTTGTATTTGTGTTCCTTGGGGAATCATTGGGTTCCCATATTTTGCATCTTTTTGTATATCTTTATCTTTAAGTACTGAAAACTAAATACTGCATGACGTTAAAGGCAAAATTGGTGAAATAATGTTATTTTTGTAATATTCACTAAAGTGATAGACATTTTAATTTTTATTAGATAATATAAATAACATACATCATTGTGTGTGATTTTTTTTTTTAAAATTTTGTTTGTATTTTCTTTATACTCCTACTTCACCCAAATTGTCATCTTTTATGGCCATCCTCAAAAGTCCTAGTTAATCTTTACTTGACTTGTAGGGTTTAAAAGATGGACAAGAGTTGGATGATGATACGTGATAGGTTGAAAAGTAAAGAGCACCAACAAGGTGTTAAGTCATTTATTGACTTTGCTACGAAGGACTTAGGCCTACACGATGACATTCGTTGTCCGTGTGTTGATTTCTTGAATGGAACAAAACATAGTCGACAAGTTGTACGGCTACACTTGATTCGAAGAGGAATCGCTTGTTCTTATAGAACTTTGGTGCACCATAGGGAACGTGTTCCATTGCGTCATGATCAGCCTAGTGTGTCAAACGATGCTGGTGAAAGAGATGGAGCTGAAATTTTTGACATTGACGATCATTTGGGTGAGTCGCCTACTATGTTGGAAGAGATTTACATGAGTGGCCTCATGGATGATCATATCGACGAAGAACCTAATAGCTCGGAGAGAGAAAACTTAGTAAAGTTCATTAGGTTGTTTGATGATGCTCGACGCAAAGTGTACTCGGAGTGTGAAAAGTTTTCTGTGTTGTCCTTCGTTATTAAGATGCTTCATATTAAGGTGTACAATAAATGGGGCAACAAATCTTTCGATATGGTTATGCAAGTTTTCAAAGACATTCTCCCAAAGTGTCATGAAACTGTTCCATGGACCCTTTATGAATCGAAAAAGTTCTTACGTGAATTGCGTTTGGGATATGAGGCCATTCATGCATGCAAGAATGATTGTATTTTGTTTTGGAAGGACAATGCAAAACTGGATAATTGCCTTACATGTAAGGAGTCTAGATACAAGTTCACCAATGCGAGTGGTAAAAAGATTCCTCACAAAATATTGAGGTACTTTCCATTGACACCGAGGTTGAAGAGATTGTACATGTCGAAAAAAACCGCCGTAGATATGAGATAACATAAAGATAAGCATGTAGATAATGGAATGTTAAGGCATCCAGCTGATAGTCAGGCATGGAAGGACTTTGATATGCAGCATCCTATGTTTTCTGTGGAACCCCGGCATTTAAGGTTAGGGCTTGCCACGAATGGTTTCAATCTGTTTGGAAATATGAGCACATCGTATAGCATGTGGCCCGTACTCTTAATGCCTTACAATCTCCCCCCATGGAAGTGTATGAAAGAGCCATTTCTGATGATGTCAATGCTTATTCCCGGTCCATCCGCCCCTGGAAGAGACATCGATGTTTACTTGCAACCATTAGTGGAGGAGTTAATGAATTTGTGGGAGCATGGTGTGCAAAAATATGATGCCTCAAATGGTCAAATTTTTAAAATGCATACAGCAGTCATGTGGACCATCAATGACTTCCCCGCATATGGTACCATGTCTGGTTGGACTACAAAAGGTTACTTGGCTTGTCCTAATTGTAACATGGATGCATCATCTCAGCGTTTGCGAAGCAAGATAGCATATATGGGTGCCCGCCGCCACTTGCCCGAGAACCATATTTGGCAAAGAAGTAAGCTCTTCAATGGTCAAACTGAGCATCGGTCCAAACCTGTGGAGTTATCGGGAGAACAAATACTGCAGCAAATTGATTCGGGGACATACAGGCCGTATGGCAAGCATCCAAACAACCGAAAAAGGCAACGGTCAGAAAATCCACCTTCCAATTGGACAAAAAGAAGCATTATGTTTGACCTACCCTAGTGGAAAACGCTAAAGCTTTGACACAACCTTGATGGCATGCACATAGAGAAGAATATATGTGACAATCTGCTTAGGACACTACTGAGCATTGATGGCAAGAACAAGGACATGAATAAAGCACGCTTGGATCTAGACGACATGCGGATACGAAAGGAGTTACACTTGAAAAGGCATTCCAATGGCTCATTCGAGAAGCCTCCAGCATCATACACACTGTCCTTGGTAGAGAGACAAGGTTTTTGTGATTTCTTGAAATCGATTAAGTACCCTGATGGCTATGCAGCAAATATATCCAACTGTATCACTACTCATGGTGGAAAATTAGCTGGCCTCAAAACTCATGACTGTCATGTCCTTCTACATCGACTACTTCCAATTGGGATGCGTGGATACCTTTCCAAGGAGATTGGGACCACACTTTTTGAGTTGGGAAATGTTTTCAAACAGTTGTGCTCAAAGACATTGAAGGTGACTGATTTGGAGAAAATGGAGGAACAAATAGTACTTATACTTTGCAAGCTTGAGAAGATTTTTCCTTCTGCGTTTTTTGATGTCATGGTCCACTTGGCAATTCATTTGCCTCACAAGGCTATGCTTGGAGGGTCTGTGCAATATCGATGGATGTATCCCATTGAGAGGTAAGACCACGAGTTCCCGAACATCCCTATTTACATGTAGTAGATAATGTAAACATTAACATTCAAATCATATTGCCATGTAGGATGCTCGGACTTCTGAAAGGATTTGTTCGCAATAAAGCTCGGCCTGAAGGTTCCATTGCAGAGGCTTACATTTCATAAGAGTGTACGACGTTTTGTTCAATGTATTTAGACGGCGTTAAAACGATGTTTAATCGGGAAGAACAAAACTATGACGAGGGTGACAACGGCCCGGGCTTGGCGATTTTCGCACAAAATGTTTGTCTGTTTGGTCTACTAAAAAGGGAAACTAATGTGTCTGTAGCTAACTGTGAAAGGGCTCATTGGTTTGTCCTACACAACAACTTAGAAGTGGAAGAATATCTAGAGTACGCATCGAACCTGTGACGTACTATATGTGACCTATATGCTTTTTTTTTAGTAATCATTTTCCAAATTACTTATGAATTACATTGTCCTACGTAGTGAACGCAAGATGTTATTGAAACAACAACATAGAAGTGCATGCAACATTGCCAAGATACAATGCAAAGAATTTCCTAAATGGTTCAAAGATCGCATATGCTAAAATTCCTTATAGTGTAGTTTACACATCAACTTAAGTTATGTCAAAAATAACATGACAGTTTTTTCTTATGTAGATGAACCAATTGTGGCACAACAAGTCACCCGAAGCAACCGATGAGATGTGGTCACTAGCAAATGGTCCTAACAGCTTAGTGAACACATATTCGGGTTGCATTTGTAATGGCGTACGATTCCATGCTTGCGACCGTGACAACCGTCGTAAAACTCAAAAGAGTGGATTGGTAGTGGAAAGGGACCATGAAGGCCAACTCATAAAGTTCTACGGCTACATTTGCAAAGTTTAGGAAATGACATATTTGTTTAGGCACCGTGTTGTTTTATTCCAATGTGAATGGTATAACACCAGTAGCAACAGAACTTTGTGTGTCGAACCACATTTCACTACTATTGATATACGAAGTCGATGGTACAAAGATGACCCATTTGTGTTACCAAGTCAAGTGCAACAAGTTTTCTACGTGCATGATACGAAGTTAGGTGCCAATTGGAGAGTAGTAGAAAAGTTTCAATAACGAAAAATTTGGGATGTGCCCGAGGTGGATGTGCCACAACCTGCTGATGTGTTCCAACAAGATGAAAGCACTAATGTTGTACCAACTGAGACTATGGATGACAATGTGGTGTTGCGTTGAGATGATATTGCCGCTGAAATTATTCCAATGGAAGTTTTGCAGTCTGATAACCGCGTACAACCCAAGGTTGGTATAGATGATGCCTTCATATGTGATGATGAAGATGAACCGACAATGGAGGGTGACAATGAAGAAGAAGATGAGCTTGACAGTGATTTTGATACAGATGTGGACATAGAATGTTGATGTATGGGTTCTAAATTTGGATGTGTGATAGAGTCTTAATGTATGGGTTCTAAATTTCGATGTGTGTTCTTGGTAGTTGTTGTTTTGTCTTTTTGTCCTTCTGTTGATATAATGAGGAAAGAGATGAAGGAGATTGTTGTTCTTTATGTGTTATTCAATTAGATGAGAGTTTAGTCCTTTTGTTTATGTTGTTCTTCATGTCATCATGTTGAGCTATATTGTGAACTTTTTCGCAATGTTGAACCTCTTAAATTGATGAATCTTCGCATTTGACATTTATGCTTAACATCGGCTTACGTACTACACTTTTATTTGACAATCATTATCAATTATTTTCCTATTGTTGTATTGTTGTAATTTTGTAAATACTTTAGCTTCTGTAAACAATCCATATTGGTCATAATATCGATGCTGCATGTGATGCTTTTACTTAATATATCATGTTTGCAGCTATTTTACAAGTACTGGCATGGTTCTTGGGATGAAAACAGGGCGGCGTAAGCAAACAACAACTGACCCCATAGCATCACCCTCAGGAACATCTGCACATGTCATTGTCACACCACTGACTTTATCCAATGAGACACAACCGCCAGATGACACACAAACATTTGTGGAAGAGACATAGGCGCACGGCGTAGGTAAGGCCATTGAACTTAAGTAAATGATTTTTCTTCATCTAGAAATACAATTTCTTGCATGTATAAAAAAATTATAGTCCCCTAGAAAATTTGCTGATAAAATTTAAAATTTAATATTAATTATTGTCAATTATATGTTTGGGGCACTATTTACAATTTGAAGGCCTTACACTTGTTGCCCCTTCTTGAGCAGGGAAAAGTACATCAACTCGTGTACGTGGTCCTACCCTCAGAAAAGGAGTGCAAAAAAGGATTATGAGCAAAAAATTGGAGAAATTACATGTGTATGTCAATCGCATGCTAAATGCACTCACGTGAGGGAATGCCACCCCTGCAACAAATGAGTTGGGCTTGCAGATAAGGCGGTTGTGCCCTCTCAAGGATGTGAAGTCATGGAAAAAAATTGATAAGAGCATCAAAGATGCAGTAGTACAAGTTGTGCTAGTAATTACTGACCTTAAACTAAATGTCTTCATTATGTAAAGTTGCAATTGCTGCATTCAATTTCTATAATACGTCACACACTTATGCTTGCAAGACAAGTTTGAAATTGGGGAGGATTTTCATACTGATCAACAAGCTCAAGAGATCGTTGATACGAATGCGTATCTCTTGTACAAGGATTGGAGGTACACCCTGAAGCAACACTTCAAAAAACTTGTAGAAGAGGGTGTTGATGACCCATATAGTCATCCGCCTACAGGAGTTTGCTTAGATGATTGGAAACACATGATTGATGTGGCTTGGAAGGATGCATCTCATTTGGTAACAAACAAATATAAATGAGTCTATTGCTTATTTGTGTATTATGCATTGATATCTACTAATTCTTTCATAATTCCTCTTTTTTAGAAACACTCTAAAGCTGGTAAAGCAAACCGAAGTTTGCTACCATACAATCACACCAATAGATCTCACTCCTTTCCAATCGCAATGCTGCTCATGGTGAGCTAGATGCATTTGGAACATATTTCTCATCATTTATATATGTAAGATGAAAGTCATGGTTGCTATTGTGACGAATTAATTTTGTTATTTGAAACTAACAGGTAGATGAAAATGGGGAGTTGGATTTTCCGAAATTTTATTCCAAATCACACAAATCGAAGAAAACAAACGAATGGATTGACCCCAAATGTGGTGAGCTACATGTACGGAGTAAACTTTTTGTGCCAATTGTATTTAATATTAATTCCTATCTTAGCACAAATTTGAATGTGATTCTTTGTGCCTTTGTTGAATAGTCTAATTTTTTGTGGTAATGACAGGATGCGATGGTGCATCTACAAGCGATAGCCACGGATGCGGGGATCCCATTGACACGTGAGGAACTGTCACGGCAAGTGCTCGGCCAGAGAAAGAATTACTTGCGTGGATTTGGGATTGGCCCACGACCCTATTTGCCATCTGATATGTGGCATGATCTCATGACAAACAAATGGAGGCAATGCGATCTGAGATTGAGGTTCTTCAAGAAAATTTGATGAAGGAGAAAGAAGAGTGCCACAGAGATAGTGAAGAGATGATGAGAGAGAGAG